CCCCAAAACCCCAAAACCCCTTAACTAAATGTTAGATTTAAATCTTTAGAGATTAAGACAAAAAGCATTCTAAATTAATATTTAATCTACATTCGTTGTTCACATAATAATGCATTAATTACTAGCAGCATCTTGATCTTTGTTTTTTACGCTATTTCTGGTAAAATTTGGCTCATTACTTTGATTATTGCTTGCCACTCCTCCCAGCAATGTCTTGATGTGCTTGATTTCATTTAGCCAACCTTTTTAATATTGAACTTCCTCATAAGTATCAACTGGAGATGAATCTCCCTTAAAATTTATAGCTATAAGTCTATCATTTCTGTATCTTGAATGCTTAACTTGATATCCACTTTTGTTGCAATTTTTCATGTGCTGTTTTCTAGTGGACTAGATATAACTACTGTTAGTCACATCTACATTATCCCCATTATCTGTAGGCATCTAACTAAAATGGTCATTATATAGATTGGAAGGAGTTTATAGAGAATCAAAGTCATGAAGGGCTTGATTGTCATTATGATTATCTCCAACCAAAATGACATACTTTTACTTCGAAATCTTTTCCTAATCTACCTGCTCTCTTGTTAGAGTATTCTTAAAGTTCATCTGTGAGTCTAGTTTAAGTATTATACTATCTAAGGCTTTAAGAATTTAGGATTACTGTTTGATTTACTCATTATCTCTTTAGTCGTTATTTTTAATCTGTTCCTTGTAATCAACTAATTTACTTCTAATCTGAGTTAAGTGAGTGGTATTATTGCTTTCTTCAAGCGACTAGAGTGTCTCAAGGAAGGCTTAAATATCTTTTTAGCTTGGATTGGGATTATTGGATGAATAGTTCAGCTAGAATTAAGAGACTTGATGTTTGGATGGGTTAAACTCTGAAGATGTGAGAGCTCTCGGGCTAGTCTTATCTTCTTTTTTAATACTTTGGCTAGCTGAAGATTTCAAGTTAATAATGACATTAGACCTACTTTTAGGAAGAGTCTAATCTAGTACTTAGGAAGATTGCATTTGATAGACTTATCTTTGATCTTGAGTAGAATCCGATGAGCATACATAATTAACCTCATCTTAAGCACTATTCTTGGGTTAAGAAGTCGTATAGTTATATTTCTAAACTGGTGATAACAGTGAGTTGTTAAAATGCTATTACTAGCTAGTTGAATATTAATTTATTTGATTCATAGTCAATGTCCCATTTTTATTGACTGTTTCTACAATATTGAATTGGGCTGATGGACCATAATTCTAATGATTCGGGTTTCCAGATCCTCCAAAAGTAGACTTATTATGAACAGGATTAGTCAAATTAAGGCCATCAATGAATTTCTGAGTTGAATTATTTCTCTCCAATTTATAATCGGTTTTCATCATATCTGAGTTGAAAGGATTTTTTTCAATGAAAGTTTAAATAATTTGCTCAAACCTTTGTATTCTTCTATCGATTTCTTCTCCTCTCATTGGTTGAGTCTGTGATAGCATCTACTATTGGTGTGTCTAGAATGTTTCCTAAGCTTGAAGTTTTAACTAATTAAATTTTTCAATAAGGCTTTGCTCTCTTTATCTTTATTTCTGTTAAATCATGAGTAACTCACTTTATACGTCTGTTTGATTTAGTCTTCTTCTTTCAGTCATGGCATGGTCCATTGTATTATTACTTACATCTATCCCTGATACCTTCTCAAAAAAGCTATTTCTTTTGAATTTAGCTCCCATTGAATTAAGATCCTAATTCAGCAATACATCAACTCTTGATTCATTTTATCTGTATGAGTTAATAACCGATTTTTTCATATCCCTATTGGCTTCTATTTTAGATAGATTTAGAAAAAGAGAGGAGTTATTTTTAGCTGAGATTTTGTTTTCTTTTTTCGGTGAATTTGGCTTACTTTATGCTTTTGTTTGTTACTTGCATTATTAATTTTTAATTGATAGCCTACTCTAACTTACATTCGACGACTTTATAGTTTTCTAAGTGGGCTACTGTGATGCTCCTGATATTGTAGGGGATTTGGCTAGAGATATCTTGGGTGATCTATGGAAGGTTGTGAATTGTTTGTTTTTAGTTGTTTGAAATTTGTCTATAATGTTAGGATGCTGGGAGGTTGTAGAAATGTCTGAGGAGTTCTTCTAGTTTTAAGATTTTTGTCTTTAGTATGTAAAATAACCATTTCTTAAATTTATGAGCTCAGTTGATTTATCTACATTAGATTCTATTTCAACTTTAGATGTATCAAGTGAAGATCTTGCAGGAGTCTTTCCTTAACTCCCTAGAGTATTCAAACTTAAACGTCTTTGCTTGCTTTGCATTTGATGTTAAGATTGTTATTACAAATTCTATGCTGAGTTTTGAGAGGATTGTGTTTGCATGGAATTCAGAGAAATCATTGATTGAGAGTTGATCAGTTTACTCATGCTTTGAATGTGGTTTTCAGATTACTTCAATCCTTCTCTAATTCTTTTCTATGCCACTGAAGAGTAGAGTTCACTAAGAGCTACTTATTGTCCCTATCTCTTCTAAGATTTTTTAGAGCGATTAGTATTCTTTTTCATATTAATTTAAATTCACTTATTAACGATATACTGCTCATTTTATAAGATTAATAATCTTGTTTTTGTTAATTATTTAGAACTACTTAATTCTTTAGTTCTAATAATAAAGATAATAAATAAAATGGCAGAATCATTTGAGAAGATTGATCTTAGCATGAATAATGCTCTCAGTCAACTTGAGACCTTCAAGCAAAACAGTCAAAGACTTCAGCTAGAATCGTTCAAAGTTGATTCCGCTCTCCGCATGTTCAACAACTGTGCTGACAGATGTGAACTTCAATTCAGAGAGAATGGTTTGAAATTCAAAGGAGAAGTCCCTGAAGACGCTTAATGCTTCCAAAACTGTATCTAAATTAGCTACAAGCTTGGGAAAATGATGTTTCAATGAGAGCTTATTAATGAGCGATACTAGTAGTGGCTCTACAGTGCTCGTTGTGATAAGCAGATTAAACTTATTTAAATAATTATTTATCTAAATTATGATATATAAAGAGTAAATGAATATCAATAGACATTAGTCGTTTACAAGTGCATATTATTGAGAACTTTGTTTGAGACTTCCTTGTATGAGGAGGTTTCACCTGCAAGTCTCTTGAACTTTACAATGTAAATACTATCTAAATTGTCCAAGTGTGCGATCTCCATCTCGAATCTTACATTATTCTTTTGACATCTAAGCCCATAATTCCCAACCTTTTTGTACGAAACTTTTTAGAGCTCAAGAGATCTGACCATTTCAATTAGCACCAATTAGGGATCTTTGCTAGTAGTGCAGTTTACATTGAAAGGTCCTCTACAAATTTTCATTCCATCATCTTTCTTTTCACTAAATGAACCATAGTCATTCAATGCACTGTTGGCTCCACCAGCTGAAAGCTGATTACCATGGCCACTCGCGCTGTTACCATTACTATAGCTATTTGAAGAACCATTTCCAATGACTTTTGTTGGTGTCTTGATGGTGGATTGTTATTTTATATGATGAGAAATAGATTAGGAAGCTAGTTGACTTGGAGGCATACCTTTAGCTGCATTTATTGTTTGATGATGAATAACTGTATTTTATGATCCACCAGCATTTCTTGAGCCTTTGCTATAACCCTGAGAATTTCTTGAGTCTACAAGAGCATTTGAGTTATAATTTGATGCATTTAGAGTACTGTTCAACATAGACTTGCCATCATCGGATATAGATTGATTTGCAACGTTATACTTTGCTTGATTTATTTTCTAAGTGTTGCTTAGGAAATGAGAGTTCTCAAGCATATTATTAGAATAAGTTGAAGACATCAGATCTTTTTCTGCATAAGAATTGTTATCGGTCTTAATTGAAGCATTGAGAGCTTTAACATTTAGAAGTGGTTTTGGAACAAACTCTTTAGAGCCAATCTTTCCATTAATACTAGCAGATGGACCATTAGAAGGTGTCTTTCCTGCTCCTGTCCCTGTGCCTGTGTACTATTAACTCTTGGGAGGCTTTGGAGTTCCATGCCCTCCATCATTAGTTCCAATTTTACTAGAGTTCTAGGATCTCTATTAAATGGTTTGCACAACAGACCTGTTTACAGAATTATTATTGCTTCTTTCAGATTTATTATTTTAGATCATGCCATTTTGAATCTAAACAGGCTATTGCTGTTATGTATTAAGATTATGTTGCTTTAATATTGATTTCTTTATTGCATTTTATATTGAAAATCCTTCATTAGCAGTCTTATTAAAGTCCTGTTTCCTAATGCTGCTTTAGTTTGAGGATTATGTTAAGCTTGTAGAATTAATATTGTTACTATCAGAGATTCTCTAAGTCTCATTTAGCTTTCTTGGTTGTTATTGCACTGTTTATGGAATATTGTTTTAATAAATTCTTGACTATTATGCTGTGTGCTACGAAGTTTTAGGCCTATCGCTAAGTAGGTTTTATTACTATTACTAGTTAACTGAGTTATCAAACAGTTATTGTCTTTGATTGAAGTTCTTTTCTTGTGAATTTAAATTTGAATCTAGCTCGTTAGAGTTATTCTGTTGCAATCCTTAAATGTTCTAAATAACTTGAGTATTGCTTTTGTAATCGCTATTTTATGAAGGAACCTGTTTCTTCCCTGATCTAGAAGAGGCATACTGTGCTGCAGTTCTGTTCATTATATCATCAACCTTGATAGTGCTATTAGGCTTGACCTCTTGAGTAAGATTTAAATTATAGCCTTAGTTTACATCTACATTTGTTGAGTTATTCATGTTCTTTACAATGAATTTTTCTTTAGGTTTGTTGGGCTTTTCCTCAATAGGAATGACTTCCTTAGTTAGAGCTGCATGCTTTTTCTTATCAACAGTTTCCTTAAAGATATCTTTTTTAATAGCAGTAAAAGAATTCTCATATGAGATATTCATTCCAGCATATCTCTCTGCTTGAGATGTTTCCATAAATACTTAAATCTTAGATTTATCAGCACTCTAGTCAAAAGCTGCTTATGGACCTCGACCTCTAACAGGAGGAACTTATCTCTATTCTACTAGGGAAAAATTCATTTTATCTTTCTAAATATTCACAGTCTTATTCATTTAATCTCTTGCATTTGCTTAATTTTATTGAAGGACTATTTATTACGGTCCCTTATCAATGTTATTATTTTGATTGGGTTGCGCAATATCTGCACTCACATTCATATCTATGTTTATTTTTGGCTTGACAACCTCTTCTGTTGGTGGTTTTTCCTCTTTAGTCAGGATTCCTACTTCTTCTTTCTTCACAGGCATTGTCTGATTTAAGTGTGAATCTTTGAATTACTACGACTAAAATTGCTGTAACTACTATTAACTTTATATCTGCTTTTATTTTTCAGCCTAGGCAAGGGCAGCAACCTTCTTATCATCAAAGTACTCAAATTCTTTATCTGAGATTTCACCTAGCTACTCATATCTCTTGAGTAAGAGATAATAGGATGTAGTAACATGGTTATGCTTATTAGCATTGATGCATTTGACAGCTTGATCTTTTCTAAAGTTATATTCAACGAGCAAATCAAGAATCTTAGTGTTGATCGGAATTTGTGATAGACCAATAAAAATACCCCCAGTAATTTTTGGGATCGTAATTTGATTGAACCATGGGTGCTTTCTGATATCACCTATCTTGTATCTTTTCTCTGGATCAGTGTTCAAGATCTTTTCAATCAGATCTCTAGATTCTGGAGATACAAACTTAGGAATGGAGTATTCTCCATTTAAGATCTTTTTATAAAGGTTTGCAGTGTTTGGATCCTCAAACGGTAAGTAACCGCAAATTAATGCGAAAAGTATAACACCGCAACTCCAAATGTCAACATTAGAGCCATGATATCTTTTTCCAGCAATCATTTCTGGTGCTGCATAGCAAGGTGAACCACAAGCAGTTTTAAGGGTCTCACCTACTTTGTAAGTGTTTGATAGACCAAAATCGACTATTTTGATATTGTTTCTGTGATCAAGTAGTAAATTTTCAGGTTTTAAATCTCTATAAGATGATCAAAACTTTTATTTGGAATTTACCTGTGAACGATATTTAGCTTGTGTAAATACTCGATTCCAGCAATAATTTAGTGAAAGAAGCGGCATGCCTCTGGCTCTTTGACTCTTTAGTTAGTTACTATATAGTCAAATAGTTCTCCACCACTTGCGAATTCCATTATCAAATATAGTTGCTTTGGCGTCTCAATAATCTATATTTAATTAGCCTCTCTAGTTTTAAACATTTGACTGAAATTTATAGTTCCATCAAGAATACTGTAACTTACTTCATATAGCTAAATAATATGAGGATGTCTTATTTATTTAAGGATATGGATTTCTCTAGCCACACGCTCAACGTCTGACACATCCTGTATTTTGTCTTTTTCAAGAATTTTGACAGCTACCTATTTTCAATTAAATTCATATTAAAAGCTGTTGAATTAAATTGTATTCTTACTTTCTCTCCAGTCAAATTGTGATTACCCAGTTTCACCTTGCCAAATGTACCTTTTCCGATTGTCTTACCTATTATCATATCATTAAATAAAGCGTTAATTACTCAAAACATAATGACCCACGTTCTTAAATTGTTGAGATGATTAAGTATTAGGATTACTTAGCCCATTTTAAGGTTAGTATCGGGATTATTGACTTCTGTTAGTTGGCTGTGAAGGGGGCTTTTAGTATGCATTTTAATTTGAATTTGTTTTGTCCTGACTGGTAGACTCTTATCTTGTGTGATTGGACTGATTTCCGTTATTGACTGATTGATTGTGATATTTGACACTGTTTTGTTAATCTGCCATATTGATTTCAACTAATCAACTGTAAAACTCAAATTATTATTCTTTTTGTTATTTTAATTATTCTTAGTATTGATTGTAGTATCATTTGAGTATCATGGGGTTTTGGGGTTTTGGGGAGATCGGAAGAGCACACGTCTGAAC